TGCTCTTCCGATCTGTTATATGGTATGCTCAATATATCAAATATATAGTCAAAAAGTACTTTATAATTATAGTTATAAAGAGTTATATTTGAGTGTACATACTTTTTAACTATACATTTGATATATTGAGTACTATCGTATAACACACGTATGTATGCAAAAGTGCATAAACATATACTTTGCTCATATTATCTTATTATTTATCTACCAAGATAATTATAAACTGCATACATATATGTTAAAATTAGTAAACTGATAAACAATTTTTTAAATCTTTTTTAATGCATTGAGAATACTGCATATAATCTATACGCACTTAGTTATTTGTGTAAACATACTTCGCTCGTATAGTTTTATTATTTATATATCAAGAAAATAAATAATATTAGCAGCATTATATATTAAAATCATCACTATTCTTTCTATCATCACTATTCTTTAATTCTATCATCACTATTCTTTGCTTTCACCTTTCTCTATCCGTGAGCTTAATGTGGAAAAACGTCGTTTCCACAAGCTGCCGAATGCACTGGACAAAAGCTGCGCAGAGTACATTGCGCAACTTTTTCCAGTTACAATACCTCAAATTTCCGTTATCATTAAATAATTTTAAGAAACCGTTTATAATTTTGCGGTACAGTATCGGAATTTCTGTTACCATTTAGTAATTTTAAAAAACCGTTTATAATTTTACAATACAGTATCAGAATTTTAAAAGAAATTTAGTAAATTTGCTTTGAATGTTACTAAATTTCGTTTTCAGCAACCTAATTTCATAAAATTAAGTTACTTCAGTACCTTAAATCTCACGGAATTTTCCGAACATTTTTAACAGTGTGTTTAAACACTATGAGGAATACTGTTACAACTGTCCTCAGTCCCAGGGACCGTTGTAACAGTAGAGAAAGACGATTGTATTATATTATTTATAGGTAAACACTTGGCTGTTTATTAAGTTTTATGCAATACAATTATTTATAATTATATATAATTATACATATAATTATGTTAATGTTATATAGATATATATGATATATATTTAATAAAATTAACTATAATAAAATAAAAGAGACAAAATCTATATAAAACCGGAAAAAAGCTTTTTTTCTTTTTAATAAGTTCAAATAATATTGTAAAAAAAAACATTTAAATAAAACCAAGCAAATCCAGAGACAATTGTAACGCTACCGTTTTCAGGGATTGATGTTACAATTGTCCCCTATTGATATTTTATAATTCGAAGTAAAGTTTCAAAATAAATATGCAAATCATCAACATAAATGATCACTAAAACCTTTTTAGATAATACGTTATAACTTTACCATTATAAAACAAAAATATTTTAGATTTTGTGCACATAATAAAACTTACTTGACGAATGAAGAAAATATTTTTTGCTCCTGCACACGTGCACGTTTCGTGTGGACCGACAAGGAACTAACAAACCAATGTCGGTTGTTACTTTTGTTTCCGATCTCCCCTATTCTATATACGCTGCGCTCAATTCTTCACGCAGCACATTTTGCTTGCATTTTTGCATTTAACAGGAGACAACACTCAAAGCAAATCTATTTCTGCAATATTCTGCGTAATGTATAATTATGAATCGTTTTTATCGCGCACGGCTAGAAAACATATGGCTATGACATTGAAATTTTGTTTCGTAAGCGTTGCTATAACCGTACGCGATAAAAACAATTCATAATTATATTAATATATACGCAGAATATTCCAGAAATAAATTTGCTTTGATCATTGCCTTCTGTTAAATGCAAAAATGTGAGCAGAACGTGCTGCGTGAAGAATTGAGTGCAGCGTAGAGTACGGATGTTCGTATAAAGGCGTTTATAATTATTTCTCGAAAATGATACTTCGAAAAATAACTTTATCACAGATGGTTAAATTCGTCTTAAAATTGGTAAAAATTTAATTTTGGTAAAAAAAATTTTTGGTAGTGGGGATAAACAGAAAAATTAACAATAAAAAATTATTTTAAATTATAATTATGAAGTACTCTTAAAGCCATTCAACTTTGATTCAAACATATTTTTCTATCTTTCGTAGTTTTTCGACGATATTCACATTGAAATAAAAAAACCAATTTTTTTCCAAAGGTTGTTTCATCCCTTAAAAGTGCGTAAGAGCACGAATATGCGGTAGCTTAATTTTTGGTTTTGTCTAGAGAATAACATATTCCGTGCACGGAAAGAACAATTTTGCTGGATATAGATAGAAAATAATTTTTATTTAATAATCAAAATAATTTTGTTGGAAAGTCAAAATGATTGCTAGAATATTAAAACGTTTTATAGCAGTGCCTATCATTTTTAACTTTCCAACAAATTATTTTGATTATTGAACAAAAATTATTTTTATATCTGTATTCAGCAAAATTTTTAGATCTTTTAACAAAATCGTTCTTTCTGAGTAGCTATTGAAATTTAGTTACTATTACTAACAATAAGTTATTTTTTTGCGTGTTCGCTTTCGTGGGGGATGTTAAGAAAATAAACTTTTCGTTAAAAAAGTAAACTTTCATATTTCGAATAATTCTTACGAGACTGTGCATGAAAATTGGTCTTTTTGATAATTTAATCAAGAAAGGATTCACTAGATTATACGGTTGAGTTAACATCTGAATACTAAGCTCGTAATCCGCACGGCTTATGTTTCCCCGGATTATATTCGCCACGTTCGACCCTCACCGGGATCCAATTATTCATAACCGTGAATTATTACCGTATCGAACAAATTATTGAAACTATCTGCCATCTGTAAGCTCTGAACTCTGAATTCTCCGAAGCCGAGGGAGAAGAAGTTCGATTTTATAAGCCGATTTATATTGTGCACGCCCGACATGCGCGACTTCTTTTATTCATGCGCGCCTCTCTCGTATACTTTGCGCTCGTCCTCCCCGGATCTAATTGCCTACGGAATACTGTCTTGCATACACTTCGATCCAATTAACACAATGCTCGAGAATTCCGATGTGCGCGCGCACTCAAGTGCACGACACTTCTTGTTATCGGCGACTGCATTAACGGCAACGCGCATCGATGCGCGGCCGCAAGGGTTATGCAATTTACGGCGTTTACGCGTGCCCGCCTGGCCATAATCGCGCGATCGAAATTGCGGGTTGCGGATGTGAGCAGTCGCCTGATGAAGTTGAGCGACAATGTGTGATTAATGATCCATTTGTCAAGGGAAAAAGGGTGTTTGTACCATGAGAGTGTAACTATATAGGAATAAATAATCGTATTTTCTTAGAACTCTCTTTAATTAAATTACAATTGAGCGGTTTTATTTGTCATTTAGGAAAAACACAGCAAAACTATTTTTATCTTCATTTATTTATTTATTACTTTGATATAATTTTATTTTAAAGCCGACTGCCATATTTGGATTCTTTTAATATACCTATTAGCTTACTTTAGATACATAAATTGTTATTTTAATGTTTCCTTAATCAGTAATTCTATTATTTTTTATGTCGAATGTTTTGAAACACGTTAATTTAAATATTTGCTATGTTTATTAATTTTTCTAATTTTTGTTGCAAGGAAATCGATAGTGTTTCTTTGTTATAGGCTTATCTCGACATTAATTAAGCATCAAAATAACTGCAATACGAAATTAAGCGTTTATAAAGTTTTCGTTGTAACAATTCGTGCATAT